TCTTTTGTTCTCTTTCCTTTATTGTCATGTTTTTGTTTTTCTAGAAGAAACTCACATTGACTTTCCAAACTCTCTCCGTGGATCTCGATATTACCACCATCCAGGAGAAATTCTGGGCTGGTCCCATCCTCCTTTCGGGATCAGGCGTCCCTCTCTGGCCATTTTCACACCTCTAAGGCTTCACCTATCTTTCCTGGACCGCACTAAGCCTCGCCGACAGCCAGACACAGCAGGGAGGGAGGAGCAAGAGCAGAAGGAGGAGGCTACCTAGCTGAGAAATCAGTCCAGGTATCGGCTGATTTCTTTGGCACAGCCACTTTGCCAAGAGCGATAAAGCAACTGGGAAAGATGCAGCTTTGGAAGATGTGAAGGCTCACCCGGAGGCCTGCCACAGACTCAGCTCCGTCTCCCAGAGCCACGCTTCTCCCTGAGCTGAATACTTGAGGAGGTACTTCTTGGGGAGAAAAACAAGGGTCCTCAGCCTGAAGGAATGGCACTTCCAGGTTGGAGAGGAAGTGTCCGGAGGTGGCCCGGAGTTCCTCAGCAGCTAATTAGCAGGAGAGAAGCAGCAGCTACAGAGCTTCCCCTCGCGTTATCTGTCGAGCTCAGGGAAGGGGCTGGGGGAAGGAGACAGCGGATGATTTATCAGATGCTGTGCAGTCAGACAGGTCCCAAGCAACTGGAAGAAATCGAGGTTTAATAGAGGAAGAGCTCCCCACCGAGACAGTCAGTTCCAATTTGTGAAAGATCATTTTTATCACATTCTTTCTGCCAGTTAGCACCTATTAACACCTGGCATGAGACAGGAGCCAGAGAGAATTGAAAGAAGGAAGATGTGGTTTCCTCGGTGGGCCCTGGAGCAGAGCAGGGATCAGTTCACGAGATGCTGTTGCTCACAGGCTTCCACACCATCAGCAGCCCCTCATCGCTCTTCAGAAAGCGATGAACTGTGGGGTCGCACCTATGCTAAATAGAGTAGTTGCTATCCCCAGCTGGTGGCCTTTTATTTCCTTCACAGCACCATTTCAAGTCTAGAAGGTTTGTTCGTTTATTCTGTATTATCAGAACCCCCACATGCAGTGCCATTAAAATTGGCAGCTGTTTCAGAGCAAAGGGCATGCGTGCCTTTTCCACTCCCGGATCGTTGGCATCACACCCATGCCTGGTACCCAGACGGGGCTCAGTGAACGAACATTAGATGAATGAACCCACAGAGTGCTTACAGGAACTGATGAGGAAACTTTCCAGGCCTTGCGAGGACTGCCTTTAACACACAACCTTGGTTTGTAAATCTGACGGGAACACCGCGTAGACCCGTGCATGAGGACATGAGCTTCATGAACGGGTTCTTCTGGAGAAGGAAAACTTTTCGAAAGTGCCCAAGAATCATCAGCCAGTGGCCCAGTGACGTCCAGGGCAACTCTGGGAAGTGGGACTAGGTCATCTTAGGGGAGCAAAGGAAGACCGGAAGAGGCAAATGGATACAGCCTGAGCCAGAAAAGAAAGAAAATTATTTTCTTTAGGCAGATCCTAGGGAGCTGAGAGCGGTGTTGGTCTGAGATAGCTCCGCTAACAGAGCTTCAATCAGAGGTAGACTTGTAAGCCAACCCCTTAGGTAGAAAACCTTAGTCTTTGAGGAAGTCAGAGCACCTGGTGGCTGGTGAGGTCTCGGGACATGAAGAACACTGATGCACTTCGGCAACTGCCTGAACACTAAAAACTGAAGCTATCTGCTCCCTGATCTTATTTTGGAAATACCGACAATACAGCCATTGTTCATTGAATTGTGAAACAGAAGTTGTGTGGACAGCTTATCAGTGTGAGCCATCTGCCCCCGGGGCTGTGCTGGTCAGAAGTGTGTGGTCCTCACTCCCCTGTGACACAATTTTCTCTGCGGCTGGAGCGCTGGGTGGGCTGGCAGCACCTGGCCCTATCTGAACTACCATACGAGCTCCTGGAGCGCATGCATGTGTGGCGTGGGCAGGGCTGTCCTGAGCTGCCTCTGAGCCTCCATTCTCATCTGTGAGCTGGAGACAGCAGTGCCAGCTTTGCGGAGTCATTGTGAGAGTTAAGTGAGGCAAGATAACCAAGTGCTTAGCACCCTCTGCCACACCTAGAAGGCTGCTCTCACGGGTCTAAGAAACACAGGACTAAGCACAACTCACTGGCCTTAAATTCCTAAGGTTCGTAACTGGAACTCAACTGCTGCTGGTTAGCGTGTAAGGTGATATAACCACTTTGGAAAACTGTTTGTCACTATCTCTTAGAGTCAGATACATCCCCATTCTATTAGTCAGGAATTCTGCTCCTGGGTACACACCCCAAAGAGGTGGATGTCCACCAAAGGGCATGCACAAGAATGGTAACAGCTGTGTGGTTCACAACAGCTCCAAACTGGAAACCACCCAAATTTCCCTCCAGTACAATGGTTAAATTGCGGTGTTTCCATTTAGTGGAATATACATAACAAGGAAAATGAGGGCATTTCTGCACCTCACAACAACACGGATGATTCTCACTAGGAGACTGTTGCACAGAAGGAGCCAGACACAAAAGAGCACAAATTGTAGATTCCATTCATAAAAGTCAAAAATAAACAAAGCTGGTCTATGATGCCAGATATCAGAAGAGTGGTAATGTTGTGGGCAGGAGAGGGTGCAGATGATGACTGACACATCCCAGGCACCACGGTGAAGGGCATGGGGGCATTTTTGGAATAGTGATGATGTCCTGTGTCTCCACATGAAAGATGGTTATGTGGATGTGTCACCTTTTAAAAATTAATTGAACTTATAACTGATGTGTACGCTTTTCTATAAGTGTGTTATATGTGGTAGATTGCACTATTGCCCCTAACCCTTTGCTGTCTCCCCACTGGGGACAGAGTACACTTTCTTCCCTGTTGATGTTAGACTTGTCCAGGACTTCCTTTGGCCAGTTAGAGGTTAGACAGTATGGTGTGAGCAGAAGCATGAGATATATTTGAGTAGTTTGGTTTTGCACTGTTGGGTTTCTGCCATAGCTGAGAATATACCTCAGGGAGCTACTGCTCTTTTAGCCTGATTCTCAGAATAATATACATGGAACAGACTGAGCTAGACCTGGAGCTGGAGCCTAAAGTCAGGCCTAGCCATTCAAGTTGCAGCTGATTGTAAGAAAAAAAAAGATTGTTGTTTTAAGCCACTTAAAGTTGATTTGCTTTGTTATGGAGCATTATTGTGGCCATAGCTGACTAATACATCATTTGTCAACAAAAACATTCTCTAAGGTCTCTATGATCCACTTTTCTAATAGTCACCTGTTTCAAATTAAAATTACCAACACCCAACTCTGGCACTTACATGACCTGTTCAGGTCATCTGTTACGTGGATCTCAGTTTCCTTGTCTATAAAAATGGAATGATGCTTACTTTCCAATGCTCCTGGGAAAACTGAAAGAGCCAGTACACCTAAAAGCACTCCACAAATAGCAGAATACAATTTTAAAGTGATGGATGATGGCAGTGAGGTGGGAAAGTAAGCACACACCAAGAAAAGCTGCTTCCCTCTTCCCATGGCACACCCTGACTCAGAGGGTCAGGCCACAAGTGTGGGGAGGAGGCTGGGAACAAAAGTCCAGGCCTGCACTAGAGCAGTGACCAAGCTTCTGAGCGTAGTTCTGTGGGGTCCAGGCTGTCTTGGGAGATGGCAGTGGTGCTTAGGCCTCTCGAAGGCTCCGAGCTAACAGCTTATGCACAGACAAAGCAGGCAATACAGGACCCCAGGAGGCCACCACTGCCCTCATATCTACCTTCCACGCATGACCTTCTATGTGTCTGAAAAACCACGTTTTTCCTTTACTTGGGTTACGGTGCTGTGTGCCTACCCACCCCTGTGAATCCTCACCGCCTTTCTCACAGCACTTCTCAGTTTACAAAGAGCAGTTTACAAAGAACCATCTGTTCTCTCATTTTGGTCTTATTTCCACTGTGTGGATAAGGAACCCGAGACTCTGAGAGATTGAGTGATTCCTGCAAGGCCACTTAGTTCATGAGCATTAGAGCTGAATTTGCAAGAGGTTTTCTGACCAAAGCTTAGATAGGTAACTCACTGATGTGGCCAAGAATTCCATCATTGGATAACCCAGATGGATTTTCAGAAAACAGTGTTGGCCTGAGGGACGGGACCAGTAAACACTGACAGAGGAGAGGGGAAAGATGGGTTTGGAGTGTTGGTAAGCAGGTCCGCAGTGGGCTTTGATGGTAGGGGGAGGGGGAAGCGAGGGAGGAGAGGGGGAGGGGTGGGGAGGGGAGGGGGCAGGAAGCACGGGAGAGTGGAAATGAGGAAGTGAGAGGGAAGAATGTCCCCACGGGGGGAGCCAGGGCAGCAAGAGGAACGCTTCCCAACAACAGCTCTGAGAGAGAAGGAAGAACTGGGAGGGCTGCCAGCTAAGGTCCAGGGGCTCCGCAGCCCTGCCTCATCTCCAAAAGCAACGGTGCAGGGGTGATGCTGTCACCACGTTCTGCAACCAGAGCCCTCCTGGGGACCCTCCCACGGCCACGGTCGGTCGGAGGGTGTGAGGTAGGACGCGTACTACATATGCCCTTCTCTCCCCTTCCCTGCCAACCCCTGACCTGGCCGACGGCTGGCCAGAGCCTGGTTCCTGTAACCAGTATCGTCCTCACTATCAAGATGAGGAGAACTGCAACAGAAAAGCAGATCCTTGAACAAAGCTGTATTTAAACAAACACACGCTTCCTTTAGAGCGCAGATATCTAGGACCCGTTTCTAGGACCCGTTTCCGCTAATTCAACAAAACACAGCAACACTCAAGGCGGGGGTGGGGGGGTGGGTCTTGCTATTTTCTTTGCGACACTTTTCACAGGGTGGGTGGAGGACTTCCTCTGGCAAGGTGAGCTGGCTCCTTCCCTGCTCTGTCCCTGGGTACCGTCTCAGCTTGGCTCTGCCCTGAAGCAAGCCTCTCCCCCTTTCTCCCATCCCAAGTCTGTTCTGTGACCTACCTCGGTGGTCCGGAGGCCATTCTGTTTCTGGGTCAGGGGGCCTGAGCTGAGGCTCTGGGGATTCGGGCACTGGGTCCCACAGCTCATCTTCTTCTCTGCGTTGGGCATTCCACCTGGGGCTGTAGATCGGGACACACCGCTGGAGGACAATCCGTCTTCAAGCACACCTAGGGGAGGGAAGCAGAAGATGGCACTAGAGTCGTGCATGTGGCAGTTGCTGCAAACAATCCCCAAGACTGTGGGGGAAAGACAGCAAAAAAGAAGAAATAAAAGTCACGCAGAATCTCACCATGCAGAGCTACCGTTTTCTATACAAACATGCATGGGTTGGTTTTTTGTTTGTTTGTTTTTTACAAAAATGAGACTGTAAAGTAATTTTGTAACCTAAAATTTTTACTTATTAATACATCAGTGACACTTGTCCATGCCATTAGATATTCTGCCATATTACTTTTCACACACTTTGTCATTGTATAGATGTGTCACCATCTATTTAACTAATCCCCTCCAACTGGTTCTTTGCTACTTTTTCATAACAAATGTTACTGTGATGAAGCCCCTTGGGTTGATTTATTCTTAATTACTTCCTTAGGATACATTCCTAGAAGTGGGATTACTGGTTTGAAGGCTATACATCGTTTTTTAACATAATTCCATTTTAAGGTGTTGGGCTGAGCATGTTTTACTCCCATAACAAATACCAAAGAAATGATAGAATGAAGTTTAAATATGGCCTCATTGAGAAGCAAGAGGAAGACTACAGCGAGGAGTTCATGGATAAAGAGTATCTGACTGAAGGTAAAAGGTGGCCCAGGGGGCACGACCGGAGTGCCAAGTGGGAGACAAAGGC